CTTTCCCTAGCTCACGTCTCCTCCGAGGCGAGACCAAAACAAGATGGACAAACGAGCTACTCGGAAGCCGAGCCATCGACTACATTTTCTCAAACTTCGCCTTGGTTCACTGGAATACGAATACAGATTAGCTTTCAATTCTGAGAAGATAAAGCCGTTAACCTATATGCAATCAATCCGTTAATGTAGGATACTGTTAGAGTTAGCAGGTGTTAGAGTTGTCAAGTCAGTAGTCGCCAGAGTTAGAGTTAAGAGTTTAGAGTTGAGAGTTAGTTAGTAGTGTAGTCGTCAGAGTTAAGAGTTAGATTGAAAGTTAAGACTTGTGGAGAGTCCGTCGGTGGTCAAGATAGTCATACGAGATAGAGTTGTCAGTCGGAATACCGTAATTAGTCGAGTTACGGTCGTAGTTGCCTAGTAAAAGCCTTATCAGAGATTCGCTAGTAGTGTAGGATAGTTTTAGGAAAGAGACGTAAAGTTAAAAGGAGCTGTTCTGGAAGACAGAGTTAGTTAGTCAAGTCAGTTGTCAGTCGTTAGAGATCAGAGGGGAGTTTTTAGTCAGTTACTAAGCATATGTTAGCTAAGAGTTAAGTGAATTGTCAGATTGGTAGTCGTCAGAGTTAATAATTGACAGTTAAGAGTTAGTCTAGAATTAGAGTAGTGACTAAAGAGCCAGCCGTAGTCGTCTAATGAAAACTTATCGGGGATTCGCTAGAAGTGACTTAATCTTTAGCACCTCACAAACCACCAACCACCTTGATTCTACTTATTTTGGGGTCTCGTCCAGGATTCTTACATAACTTTGGAGTCTCGTCCAGGATTTCAACATTATTTTGGGGTCTCGTCCGGGATCTCTACAGTAGTGCCTTTGTTTAAACACCTCACAAAACCACCAACCACCTTGATCCTACATTAACCTATATGCAGTCAATCAGTCATCGACACCCGATTAGAAATAATCTGGCCTTACCACGCTAAGGACACGATGGACGTAAAAATCGCGAAATTCTTAGAAAAGGAGGCAAACTTACCCGCAAGACTGGGTCTCGACCTCGAGGAAACCGGCGGTAGCCGACATGTTCCTCCTAAAGGTACACCAGCCAATCGGTGACCACCGCACTTGCGGCAATTGCCGAACTTCCGGGTGGTCCCGCTGAGAAATTCCGGACAGGAACATACTACCAATACTGGTGCTCCCGGGGGTGGCGGAGGCGGGGGTGTCATGAAGCCTCGTGGCTCGTGACCAGGCCTCGATGACCGAACTGTACCATAGAGCCATGGATCCCCGTAGATCATTTGACGCGAAATCCCGCTTCCGCCGCTTATCGTTCCCCACCCTTTGCCGGGATCATCTGTACCCTGACTCTGCCGCGACAGGCCCAGTCTTACGCTCCACGACTTCTTCCCTTTGCTCAGCGTGTCGTAGTTCTGAAACAAATTTAGTCGTTTTGATCATTGGTGCCTTTGGCATTGCATCTCAAGAAGAGACGCGAAGAAATTTTCAGCGAAATGAAATTTCCTAACGAAAGTCCCTAAATGGGGGTTCCCTAGCTAAGAGTAAGTCTGGCAAGTTGGATCAGTGGGCTGTCATTTAACACGTTAACCCTTTCGCTACTAGGGGTGACTATAGTCACCAGCCACAAAAATCGAGTAAAAAATTAAGATAAGTGCTACCGCTTCTCTTAGCTCTTTTATTTCTTCTTCAAAAGATTTGCGTCAAAATACCGAATGCTAAAGACTGCACGATCGTAGTGTTTCCATCTTTGACACGTTGCATCGTTCTACAGGAGAGACTTCATGACGACGACATCGTGGCAAAAGGGTTAACCACTTGTGCTACCAATGAACTCACAGAAGCGTGTGCCAGAACGGTCCAGTGTTTCTGTAACAATTGCCTGACAACGTGTATATCACGTCGTTAGCCATTCTGCGACAAAAACACTGTGACGTGCGTGACACGTCTTTTCAGCGCAAGTGGTTAAACGCCACGCCGGTTCCTAGGGATCGACGCGCTAGACTTCCCTTCAGGCTTCGCCGGTCCGTACGGCCCGGAAGGGCCCGCATGACGACTAACTGTGGGGTGAACGTAACGGCACATAAGACCGGCGTGGCGTTTGACGCGTTAACGTCCAAATTTTCATTTTAATGGCGGGACACGAGTATCTGAAATTTTTGAATATAAAGCATCGGTTTTGGACGATAGCAGTGTATTGGAGGTCTTCCAGTGACTCGATTTGAATTAAAGAAGGACACGTGGAAGCCACTAATTGGGAATCTTCAAAGACTACTAAGAATAATATCGATGTTTTACCAATTTAATGAAGTAGTATTCGTATCAACGATGAGCTGTGTCAGAAATTTGAAGATTTAACGCGTTTGCTTTGATATTAGAGAAGTTGTTCGAAGAATCGATGTCCAACGTTACCGGTTTCCTAAGTTGTAATAAATTCTCTGAGAGATTATTGTTTTCTCTTCCGTAGTTGCGGTAAAAGTGATTGATGCGTTTCTGTTGAAATAGTTAAAGTATAATATAACTTGCATTTTCTACGGAATGCCATGTTGGACGTGCAAACAATGAGTTGCATTCTCGCTACTAAAATTACTAATTTTATGTAACCGTATTAGACCAATGCTTACTGGATGGGCACATTTATACCGTAAAATAAATAACTTTCAGCATTTGTAAGAACATTTCCACTCCACTTAACGAATTTTATTCGTGAAATTCTCGTTTTCAAACATCCGATATACTTAAACGCTTTAACACGTACACACGTGTTTGCTCGTCGAGTAGAAAATTACTTTTCTTGTTTATAAATTGATTTTTTTAAATCCGATTTCTCGTTAGTCTCTAAATGTACTCAGGCCCGTCGATTCGTCGACTTTTTCTTCAGGACGCTGCTTGAGAGTGACATTTTAACTGTGAGCGAGTGTAATATTAGAAGTATTATTACATCACAGGTGTCAACGTGTCAGTAATTAGCATAATGTTACTGCAATATCAGCGTTCACGGATAGCGTACTAATACTGGACATTGGAATACAAAAAACAAGGTTTGCTTAGATATTAACATATAGATTAAGCAATAGGATTGGTACAACGAATACCTGTTTCCTTGGCTCCAAAAAGTGGAAAGTATTTTTTGCCTGCATCTTTTTTAAAGGAAAATAGATAGGAAACACATGCATCTCTTTAAATGTCGTATTAATCATTTTTATGATCGTGTACTCATCACGGTACCGTAATAACTAATATCTGTCTATAAAAATAATACACAGCAAATAAAGAATTAAAATCAGTCGTTTAATTTAAGATAAAGTGAAATTGCGCATCTTTAAAAAAATATTATTAATGGAATAAATTGAATTGAATTTTTAAATCTATTACGCAATTATTATATATCATTTTAATATAATTGCGTAATTTATTACGATTTATTTTCTGTAATGAAAATTTTGGAATTAAATCTAGAAACTTTATAACAATTTTATATACTTCAAATGAATGCACCTTTTCCTTTTTAGCTTCCTGCAACTGATCGACTCGTTTTAAATGTATAGCATGCATTCGATTTTTCTAGTACACACCCCCTTATTTGGAGACGATGTTTAATATTCAGTGCACGTGCTTATTGCGAATAATTACAGTTGTTATTATTGTCATTCGAAAGGGAGAATGTGTACGTGAAGCTTTCGTTTTCGACAGGATATCCTATTTGGCAAACGGAATTTTCAATGAGCTACATTATACTGCAACTAAAAATGTTAACACTTTCAACCTTATGTCTCTGCAAGGCTTCCGGAACTCTCGATCTCGTTGCCAAAAAGGAACACCCATGAAAGTGAAAACGATTAATTTTTACTACTCACGCGCCATGTCTTATCCTCTTGTTACTTTTTAAAGACACAATAAAATCAATATATAATAACATACCGGATATAATTTATGAAAAATACAAGCCAATCTGACATAAAAGTGAAATATAAAATTAAGATAAATTTAATCAAAGTGACTCCATCTTTCATCGAAAAATTGTACACTATAATTTCGATAAAAAATTGCACCCATTTTTAATTTCAGTAAAGTTCAATTTTTATTGAAGAATTAGGGGAAAAGAAAGAGGAACAGACAAAATTAATTTATATTTTTGACTCCATCGGAACAGTTTCTACTGTCATTTTATAGATAAGAAAAGGAAATGTGCAGCTCTAACTGCTATTGCCAAAATGTATACCAAAAATCACTAACAGTAAGTGAACATTTCTGTTCTTTCCTCTTATAAATAAATCAAACTAAATTCCAATATACACGTATAAAATAATTACTATGTGTACAAATATCAAATAAAAAATCAAATAACATTTACTCAAACCCTTGAAAGCTTGAAAATCTCCATATTAATCCTTTATATCAACGAGTCCAACTCGTCGTGAGTTTTTCATAAAATCTATACTAATCTTAAGCCCTTAAACATGACTTACACTCGATCAGATTAGAATTACATTTAATATATTTTAACGGGCGAGAAAAATTTCATAAACCCTATAAATTTCTATAATTACATCGCGAATGGAACAGGTGCATAGGGACTAATTAAAATGGAATAATTAAAAGATGCCCAGTCTCTCACAATTAAATTGCATTGCGAGGGGTCAATAACCATGATATCAAGATGACAGATAAATCTATCTCACAACACAACAAATTTATTTTCGTAGGAAAATAAATTTCGCGCATACCAAGTCCCTAGCTATAAATTATAAAACGTTCTGGATAATAATGACCTATCGAAAGCGTATTTGTCTGTTTCCGAGGTGAACGGCACAGAGTGGGAGGGAAGGGCACGAGCGAAAGAAGGGAGAGAAAAAAAAAGGAAACGCAAGGAGAGAGAAAAGAAAACGATGGAACAACAGGTTTCAGCGAAAGTAAATGACGGTAGGAATCGTTCGAGATCGCATTTTAAATTTGTTTTCCCCTGGTGAAACTGCTGCGATCACGAGGGGGTCATGGCTCGTTTTAGGCCGTGGTCTGCGTCGTGAGTTTCGAAAGAGAGAAAGATGAAAGGAAGAAATAAAACGACGAATGTCGCGGGTGGACAAAGGCCAGGTCTTCGCGCGAGACAAACATCTGCAGTTTTGCAGAAAAGAACAATCCCGACCCTATCGCGGGGTCGTAAAAAGATCTATTTATAGGGAACTCGAAAGAAATGGAGGAAAGAGGAGTGAAAAATATTTGGACTGGTCTTCGCCTGGTTTTTCTGGTTTCCATGCTGTGCTACCGCTTTGAGCCTTGCTGCTACGAGAGTGGCACCTTTTAAAAGTAACAGGAAATCTATCGCGAAATGGTATGCATTCGCTAACAGGTTCTGCCTGATGGAGAGGTTTCATCGGTCGAAGACGAAAATGCGCTTCTGATCGTTATTCCCCGTTGATCAGATTGATCCAGAGATCGTTGATAATTTTATTAGCCCCTCGTGTTTTATCATCCACCGTTTTCAGATTTCATATTATCGGATAACATCAGGAGATCCCTTCGTTCGGGGAAACAGCCAATCAGCCGAGCCTCGGTAGAATATTGCTACTGTCCACCGAGTTAATATAGGCGATTTAATAGCATTTTTCTTCGTATTTAGAATAAATGCAGATAGAAATCGAAACTGCCGAGGGATTTAAAAATATTATTGCAAGTTCCGAAAGAATTATTTATTTATATACAACGCGATTTTGGTGACGAATATTTGATCCTGAGTGACAATCCACAAGGATCTAGTCAAGGAAAAGTTGAAATGTGATAAATTGGGAATTATTTATGTATTTATTTATTTATACGGGATTAACTCATTAGAAAAATTACAAGAAAATTATCACAGTGAGGTATAAAATTAATGGTAACAAAGAAAAATAAGAATAAAAATATACAAATATACAGAGAGTCGAGATTTGTGTAAATATAAGAGAAAAACAAAATTTGTTTACAGAAAGGTACAATGTGGTAGCTGTTTTATAGAGTGAAAAGATTGGCTGAATAAGTCTAGGCTAAGATAAATGTTGTTAAAATTAATAATCATTCTATTAATACCTGAATAGTATGTAAAAGCAGTTTTATGTTGTTGTATATGAAGAAAGTTGTGTCGTCTCAAATGAAATGAATTATATATTGATAGAATAATAAACAGAATATTGAAAAAGTAAATTTAATTTTAATATATAATTATTATTAATAGATGCATTATTTCGACGAAAAATTCTAATATTTTCTAATATATTTAACCCCTGTTGAATTTTCATCCTCGGTAAAATTATTTCTCGAGACTAGGTTTTACTGGTATAGTTACAATAAATTTTGTAAATATGTAATTATAGATATACAGATTCTAACGTATTTTAATATATTTAAACTTGCTCAGACAGAATTAATTTTCCCGGCA